GTCCGCGCTTGCCCGCTTGCCAGCGTACCTTTTAAAATATCGAGACAGATGCGACCCAGCTTGTCGATGTTAGGGTGGTAGATCTTGGTCAAGAAACGGACCTTGGGAGGTGACATGGGATATTCCTCAGGTAAGAAAAGCTCCAGTCTGAAGACTCCACCTAAAGGATCCACACAGGGTGGATTTGGTCAGCACAAAAAAGGTGGAGTTTCGTCTTCCATGAGCTCCTATCTCGTCAGGCGTCTGGAGGCGTCTCATCTCCTTCTAATGGTATGGTCCCGCATCCTGTATCATTATCCATTGATATGTCCACAAATCAATATGCTATATTCCTGTTGGTTTGGCGACACTTATTATTATATTCATGCTCCTGGTGGTCTTGTTGGTGATGGTATACAGAATAATGGGGTTGCTGTCAATTCTTATCCGTTACCTTCGAATGGAGATTGGTCAGGTCCAGCAATGATGACATCGAAGTAACGAAGGTTGTCTTCGTGGGATGTTGCGCTGATACCTGGCGCAGGATCGGCCAAAAGACGTTCGGTTTCCTATCGGGATTCCACGGTGAATGGTTGCAATGCTGTGAGTCCTCCGATACCACGGGCTCGGGAGGAAACGTGATCGAGAACCAGTACTGGCCAATGATGCGACCGAGGGTTGCAACTGACCTTGATGATTCGCTTGGGCAGGGACATTGTTCGATTGTAGATTCGTGAAAAGGACAAGAGAGAGAGAGAGGGATGTGGTGCGAGGAACGTGGGGGGGGCGTGACTTTGTTGCTCTGAATTCCTTGTCCACCAGCCTTGCTCAAGGTTGACTGGTTGACTGATAGTGCAGATTCTAAACCCCTCGGCAGAGGAGCCGATCGCAGGCCTTGAGGTGATTTGAATCATGGTCTGCAAGCTCGATGGCTTTGTTTGACTCATGATTTGTCAGCCATAGTTCGCTGCGCGACCTTGCAAATGAGAGGAGGATCTATCAGTGTGGCGCTGGCAACGCGGTTCAATGATGACAATTCCTCGGCTTCGGATGGTTGTTGGATGCATAGACCCCCCTAGACGCAATAAATATATAATCTTCTTCGTGCTCGTCTTGATCTGCACTTTCCTCTATTCACCATTCCACCATGGCTCCAGTCATTTCAAAGCTCTACATCTACCCCATTAAGTCTTGCAAGGCCCTCGAAGTGACCGAGACACAGCTCTCAAAGTGTAACACCACTTCTATTGTTCCAGCTTTCAATGCGCAGTAACCTGACTTGACTGCCTCTCGGACTCACTTTGTTCTCTGTGTTCCTGTTCCTGCCTGTTATCTGTTTGTCTCCACAACGGAAACCCATACTACCCTACACCACGGACATGTCCATAGATGGACTGCAGGCAAGAAACACCACGCAGTAGCGGCGGATAGAACAAAAAAAGCGAGTCTCTATACTCTGATGCCCATCAAACTAAACGATCAATTGTCCTCTCAATCTCATAGTATGATCGCACCTTTTTGGTCATCGACCCGGATACCAACAAGCAGAGAACCATGCGTGAACTCCCTCCTGTATGTGCTAAGTTTTTATCGATCTCCTTCGCTCAGCAGCCGGCATCAGCTTTCTTTATTTAGTGCCTATTGTGATCCACTGCCTCGTAAACTGACATGCAGTTATTCATAGATGACCCTGATTACACCCAAGATTGTGGGAGAGAACCTCGAGATCACTGCTAACGGAAAGGTTTTGGTCGTGCCATTGAATCCCGAGTAAGTTTCCGACCCTTTAGTCCATTGGCGTTCTCTCACCTCATTTGGCGACTAACTGTCACTTGATTTCTTAATCCACCAGCGTTACCAAGTACGAGAAACGCACCGTTGATGTGTGGAAGGAATTACTCGAGTCTGCAGATCTGGGTGACGAGGCTGCACAATTCTTTACCGAGTACTTGGGTGTTCCTTCCCGTCTCGTGTACAAGTCGCCAAACCATGTCCGTCCCGTTATTGAGCACTCTCCTGGTGTAAAGGAGATTGGATTCCAGCCTGAGGTAAAAGAAACCTCGCGGTAGTTGTTGATGGGATGAGGTTTTTTTGGCGTGCAAGAGAAAAGAAGAAGAAAAAACCAGCTTGAGCATCTTCCTCAATACCTTGTTTCGTTCTTTCGCATTTTGATAGACTGCATTCGCCGACAACTTCCCGATCCTCGCCTTATCGGAAGAGTCCATCAACGATGTCAATACCCACCTGGAAAAGCCCGTCTCCCCACTGAACTTCCGCCCAAATCTCGTTATCTCGGGTGTGAGCAAACCTTGGGAAGAGGACACTTGGTGCCTTGTTGATATCCGTGGCATCACTTATTACTTTGTGTGCCGCTGCACTCGTTGTGACATGCCCAATGTCGACCCCGAGTCCGGTGTCAAGGACAAACTCCAGCCTCAAAAGACTTTGCAGAGCGTCCGTCGTGTCGACAAGGGTAAAAAGGCCAAGTTCTTCGCCTGTGTGGGCATCAACGTTATCCCCAGCACTCTTTCCGGCGAAATTCGTGTCGGAGATGCCCTCGAGGTCAAGGAGGTCTTCCAGGGCGAGCGCATGCGCACTGGCGAACCTGGTTGGTCGACCAAAGCTGTGCAGGTCGGAGCGTAAAGAAGGCAAGCCGGCGCTCGCTAGCAATTGTTTCACGACTGCAGGTCTTAAATAAAGACCTCGACAGACGTCTCGTACTGGGAATGGATCCGTGGTCACGTGTGGCAAAAGATAGGTGTGGAAGAAGATTGATAATAGTATCGACGATGGGCAGTCAAGGATCGAAGGTGAAAGAAAGGTGAGCGGTGAGTCGATGGAGGGGATAAGAATGGAAACGTGGAGTCAGTTCAGTGTAGTAGTCGAGAGTCGAGCGAGAATGAGTATCTTCAATGGGCGGCGAAGTCCACTTTTTTTAATCGAGAGAACGACCTCCTTTTTCTATTTACAAGAAGGAGGGGCAGAACAAGCTAAACTACAAACCGGCGGTGGGCTTACAGGGACTCAGAGGTGACGGGGCTCGGCTAACAAGGGAACTCGGAGATGACGAGTACGAGAGGGAACATGAGAGTGTCGTGTTGCGGGAAAAGAGCTTTGGTAACCAAAAGGCGAGGGTGTCGAGCCACGGGGAAGAGCTCGGAGATCTACGGACGGTGATGACGGGGCTCTGGGCTGGAGCAACTTTCGGGGAGTTGAGCGCGTTGCAAGTCAGTTGAGATCGGCTATATGATTAGGTCAGAATCGCAACCCATAATTCAATCTTTGGTAGTATAGTGGTTAGTATCTCCGCCTGTCACGCGGAAGACCCGGGTTCAATTCCCGGCCAGAGAGCATTTTTGCTCCTTTTGCCCTTTTGCGGCCTCGCGGTAAAGTGCCGAGATCTGGAACAGAAGGCGTGAAGACGGCAACCCGAATCGGGCAAAGGAATTGTGTGGATCTTGGTTGGTAATCATAATAATAATAATAATAAAAAAGAACAGTTACATGGAGTTTTGGATCAGTAGACGCAGCTCACTACCCAGTCATCGATGGGTGGGATGAGAAGCAAATGGACGATACCCCAATCACAAGTCTTTTCCCATGTGGATCCTCGTTAATAAAAAAAGCTCTCTCGGACTCAGCCTTGTTAATAAAAAACTCTCTCGTGCTCACTTATGCATGGGCTGTGGATGTGGAACCAAGACGCCCCAGCCAGCAATGCTGGGTGGGAATACAGCTGCTCTATTGTTTGTATATATCTGGATGCCCCGCCAATCACAAATCTCTTTCCCATTTGGATCCTCGCTAATATATAAAATAATCCTGTACTCACCTATTTCTCTACCGAGGAATTGAGGTCATGAGAGTTCGGGCCTTTTGTTAGTCATATCCAAGAGGTTGCCGATCATATCTGGCAATCAAGCCTTAGACTTCATAAGATGTTGTCGTCTACTGCAATCATCTCGCCGATCTCGGTCTCGACAGCTGAGTGATATTGAGAGTTGTTCTTTGAACTGAGCCAGACTTTCTGCTAAGAATACCGCCGATATGGTTTGACTACAAAATCGTGGACCGTGTGTTGCGCGTAGGGATGCCTTTCAGGATGGTCATGGGCGCAAGATAGGAGAGAGTCTGGCTTCTGGTTAATAATAAACAATCACCAGCATCAGACCGTAAGTTTCTAGCAGAATTGAATATATATCGCTTATTCTTAATGCTTCATGGCGAGGCGTTACTCTTGGCAGTGCTTCAAGGTTGCAACTCAACGCTAAGTGCAGTGGACATTAAAATTGGAGACATAAATATACTGTATTTGTCTCCAATTCAAGACAGGGGGTGGGTACTTCGTGTCACACGATGAGCATTGTTGCCTTCCAGAGGGTACAGACCTAAAGCTGGATGTCTTTGTGGGCAAAAAAACCTTGTGGCGCAAACATCATGCAGTCTGGCGGACGTCGTATAAAGTGTAAACTCAAATTTGCTTTGTGGAGAGCAACCACGAGCCAGGAAAGTTTAATCAGTGTGACCAGTGGAAGACAGCGTCGAATGTTCCTCAGCTCTCTCTTCGTCGACTTTTCCCAAGCACGAGGGGAAAAAGAGAGCGCTGGTTTGCCCTCGCCCCCATTGTTCACACAGTGCTTTCAGACGTACTGTACGCAGTAGACTAGAAGGGCGAGGGGCCATTGTCAGCAGAGACGAACAAAAGCCGCAACCATGGCGCGTAAACAGCAGAACGCAACAGCAGAACATTGAAACAACAGCGGAACATGAACAGAAAGGACTATATAAATCAAGAGCGAGAGCAGCTCGTTGGTTTCTCCGGAGCTCTCTTATATACCTTCCATCTCGACTTTTTCTCCGATTCCACTTTGGCTTCCGAGGCCAACCTCCACCCTCTATATATATATCCCTTTTCCTGACCCACGCGCCTTGTCTTAAAACCCCCAGTCCGCCTCCCCCCTTATATCCCCTTCTTCTACGTTTTAGAAGCAAACTTTCAGCGCAGTTGTCAACATGGCTTTCGACATTCGTGACGAAAATGACCAACTTGACGAGTTCGATGAATATGAGGATGCGAAGCAGCCTTCCCCTCCCAAATTTTACCGTCGCCGCAAATTTTGGATTTGCTGCATTCCCAGCACAATCATCACTGTCGTCGTCGCCGTCATTCTGGCGCTCTACGTGATCATGCCGAAGATTGCCCAGGGTTTGATGAACAAGGCCTCCATCAACCTTTCACAGATTGTATGTCTAATCGAGTGCACATTTGCTGCAAAGCTAAACGACAACATTTAGCTTTCGCGTTCATTAATTCCTGCATGCATTACACTTTGCTCTCATTTTCTCCCAGGACATTACGAATCCCACGGCTACGTCAATGGACATTGTCATGGTGGGTGAGATGCAAAACACTGGCCCTTTCCATGCAGACATTACTTTCCCCGGAACCGTCTATGTGTCTTGGAACGGTATCGAGCTCGGTACTACCCAGATTCCTGGCACTAGCAAAGCCGCGTAAGTTTCCTTCTACCATGCATTTCCATTCAAGGTGAACCGAGTCATCGTTGAATTTTATGTCTAAAAAGTTCTCATCCTTCCCTTCCTCCCCCCCCCACAATACACTCATGCAACCCACAGCGGCGGACATGGTGATTTGAACATTCAGAGCACCTTCACTGTTACTAACGAGACCGCCTTCACAGAGTTCTCAAGCTACATGCTCAACTCCGAGTCCTTTGTCTGGCATCTCGAGGGCAAGCTCAACGTCAAGGCTCTTGGCCACACGGTCAAGGATCTTGACTTGAAGAAGGACATCACCGTCAATGGTGAGTACAGTACTTGTTCGTGTTACATGACCGCTATGTAGTCAATTCATCACAAATATATACTGACGCATGCTTTCTACCTTGACCTTGTAGCATTCCATGGTCTTTCTGGCGTTGCCATTCAGAAGTTCGCGCTCCCTGGCGACGATCCGACCGGCAAGGGCATTCTCATCGAGATTGACACCACTGTCACCAACCCATCTGCGATCCAAATGTACATGGGTAGCTTGACCTTGGCCATCTCGTACAAGGACATCGTGATGGGTTATGTCACTTCCTCCGGGTTGAACATGGTCCGCGGTCCTCAGATCTTGAGCATGAAGGGTGTATTGATTCCCCAGACC